TTTATAAAATTCTTATGGATGTTCTAAACAACTTTAGGGATCGATTTTACAATAACTTTATTCGTTTTCGAGAAAAAAAAATAAAATGTTGATATACAGGCTAAAAAATCAACGAAAAAGCCAACATGTCTTACATTTTATTATTTTTTTAAAAAAAAGTATTCAGTTTATAGCAAACGGATCCCTAATTTTATTACATGCTTTATTTTTAACACGCAGGATAAAAATGAAAGTGATTGGTAAATAATTGTCGAAGGAGTAGCATTTTGAATGCACTAAGGTTTCGAAAAACACAAACTGAGAAAAACCACTTTAACGTTTATAATTCTGAAAAAATAATTATTATAAGCTTAATTAAACTTAAAGTACCACTTTAAGATATTAGTTACACATTTTTCTTTAAAATAATTGCATTTTCATATTTTTTCATCCCACACATTTTTATAAATGATCAACTTTTAGAGAGAGTACTAATTGCGCAAGAAAAATTTTTTTTTCTGTCACGACAGAAATTTTAGCTGTTTTTCTTCTTATAATATTAAAGTATTACATTTGTATGAAAAATATATCAGGAATAAGAACTGAAATTATATAAAATTATTAATATAAAATGCCTTAATTTAAAAATTTTACATGCACACATTTCACAAAGAAAAAGAATGATTGTATGTATTGCCTCGGAAATATATTCTGCTTTATATATTACACATTTTTTTAATGTTATTATTTCTTTTTATAAAATAGATTTTTTTTTTATCAAAACGCTTTTTTTTCTAAAAAAGGGGGCTTGGCTGAATTGCCTATTTTGTTTTCAAATGAAGTTTTATTCAACTTCTAACTTTCCGACATGCACAAGTGATATATCAATCGAAAGATAATAATGCAAAGAATAAGATTAAATGAAAATAATAATAAAAAAAACGATAGGTCTGTGATTTGGGGGCTACCAAGTCTTAAAAAGTTTCTGTTCCACTTGTTCCGAGCAAAAAGCAGAATTTCACCCACGCTGTTCACGAAAATCAGCCATTGCTAAAACGACGTTCACCAAACAGTTGTCACTATAAAGTCTGCCGAAATTAGTTTTTACCTTAATCGACGGTACTCGGCTTACTGACTCAGGAGTGTTAACTCTATGAACTCCTAGAGGCAAAACGCGGTACTACAAAAACTCTGCCACCAAAATGTTAGGTTGGTTTCTTTTAGGTCATCTCATATCCACTTGAATCTTATTTCTAGTAATATTTCTAACACCTAATTTCTTATTCAGCTATATACGTGCATAAAATCCTGAATGGTAATCCATTACTTCTTGAGACATTGTCCTGGTCAGTGGCTTTTCTAGACGCAGGGTAACAATGATGTACTTTAATTATTCTATTCCAGAGAAAGGATAAGAACAAAGTCCCAATGGCCCGTTTAATCCGTCTGTAGCCACACCGCTTCTTCGTTTAATTTGAAGAACCCTTCGTTTCTCACGATTACTATCTCAGCAAGGGTTTGATTCATATGCTATCGTATTAACATCTGTACTTTTCGCCACATGGGTGAATGTCTCAATTAAAAACGTCTTGTTTTGTGGTTACTCGTCACTGCTGTTGGTGATAATAATCAAGAGGTGTTTAACAAATGCGATTGTACCGCTGCTACTCGTTTATTGATGATGTAAAAAAGCACAATTTTTTTCGGTGTAGCTAACTCATTTTGTTAAGCCCATGATTGGTTGTAAATTTCCGTTTCAAGGCCATCTATACTTAATTTTAAGGGGGGAATAAATTCGAGTTCTTTATATAATACATGCACTTATTTATCATATTGTATTCTTTAAATTGGAGATTCATTGTTTGTAGAATTCTTCAATTTTTAAAAGATAAATGCAAAAGATTCGTCATAAGAACGTATTTTACTTAGGAATAAATTAAATTGTTTCAAATAGAAAATTAATAGTTTAAAAAACTACATTTTTCAAAACAAGTTGTGCTCTTTTCTTATCATTGCCGTCTTTTTCATAACATATCAAAAATAGATGAAAAAAGCAATGAAAGCTAACATTTATTAGCAATTTTTTTAATAAAGGGTGTTTTTTTAGAGGTATAGAACTTTAAATTGCAATAAAACAACGATGTATTATTCGATTGACATGAATTTTTTTTATTCGAAAGATAATTTTGTAGCATTTACATTTTAAATATGATTTCTGGCATAGGAATGCCACGGCTGGCTCGGATGTAGTCCAATCTGGACGTCCAATTTTCGATGACTTTTTCCAACATTTGTGGCCGTATATCGGCAATAACACGGCGAATGTTGTCTTCCGAATGGTCAAGCGTTTGTGTCTTATCCGCATGGACCAATGACTTTACATAGCCCCACAGAAAATAGTCTAGCGGTGTTAAATCACAAGATCTTGGAGGCCAATTCACAGGTCCAAAACGTGAAATTAGGCGGTGGTCACCAAACGTGTCTTTCAATAAATCGATTGTTGCGCCGTCTTGTTGGAACCACAACTCCTGGACATCATGATTGTTCAATTCAGGAATGAAAAAGTTAGTAATCATGGCTCTATACCGATCACCATTGACTGTAACGTTGTGGCCTTCATCGTTTTTGAAGAAGGATTCCACCAGCCCATAAAACGCACCAAACAGTCAGTTTTTCTGGATGTAACGGTGTTTTGACATACACTTGTGGATTAGCTTCACTCCAAATGCGGCAGTTTTGTTTGTTGACGTAACCATTCAACCAGAAGTGCGCTTCATCGCTAAGCAAAATTCGCTTATGAAAATCGGGAACAACAACAATCTCGTTTTGGGCCCATTCGACGAATCTCTATGAGGCGTGAGTCTATTCATGATGAATTGCCAAACCAAACTGAGAATAAATCACTTGACAGCTGTTAAATCGGTCGCCATCTTGGAAAGTAATGCCAACTTAAACTTCTATACCTGGAAAAAAAACACACTTTATATATATTGCGTATTGTCGCCAGTAATGCCTGCTTGGCGAGATTTGCGCCGGCGAAACTGAAAAATACCTTTTTCTTTGTCCATTTTAGGATTTTGAATGCATATATTAGAACACTTTTGTTTGGAGGGTCATTTTTACTGCAAGGAAATATGGAAAGTATAAATTTATGTATATTTACACAGTCATATTCAAAAGAATTTCCAGTTTCACAGAAAAAAATGCTGTAGGCTTTCAAGACAGAATTTACTGTCTGTGTTCCGTTTAAAGTAACCCGAAGGATCACGTCAAAAAGTCCCACTGGTTTCCTCACTTACTCCCATCAGTTGATTGAGATATGTATTTTTTATTTTCTTGCTGAGTTTCCTCGCCTACTGACAAATAAAAAAGGATATTTTATTGGACTTTTATAAACCTTGTTCATGTGGGATTATCAACTGATGTAAGAATTCTTAACCTTTTCAGATTCCTAATTTCACATCGCATCATGACAATTAATTAAGTTAACTAATTCTAAAATTAAAACCCTCATCTCACACTAAATCATACACTGATCGTATAGTTTTTAAACATTATGAAATTTATTTTAAGCACAAGTATATGGAAATTTACTTCATTACAAGATCAAAATTTAACTTAGCTTGAGAGAGGGATAGTGCAAGGGATGGATGTGGTTGATGCCCGGAGTCTCCGGAGTATTTTCGTGATTGTCTGCAGCTCTGGAATCGGCTCTCTCTCTCTCTGTGTGTAAAATCGGGGTGCGTCCCGTTTTATTTTACGACTTTTCACACAAAAATCCTAGAGCGGACTCTTTGTCTTGTCCACTTTAATTGTCTCTGATTGGTCCAGAGGCCAGCGCAGTGTTACACCACCTCACAATTTATGGGTTTATTGAACTTTCTTAACGCGGGAACTTTCTTGACGCACCCCACCAAAAAGGAATTTAACCACATCCGGTCCGGGGACTCGTAAACAAATTCCAAGCCATCTCAGGGGCTAATTCTAAATTAGGAAGTTCTGGCCTGGTATTTATGCTTCTTATTTTCTATTAAATCCGGTTTTTTACGCGCACTTGTACTTTCAAGGTGCATGTTTTAAATTTTTAGGTATATTCGGCGTATAATGCGCACCCCCCTTTTCTTACGAAAGATTCTGAAGTGTTCGTATGCGATGCTCTTATGCTTTGAAGTCTTTTATTTGAGGTATTATCCCAGGATTTTGAAAAAATAGTATATTTTTAGAACTACAACTTTTTAAGTTCATTAGGTATATAATTTCTTTTAAATAAACAGTATTCCAGTCTATGTAAAAGACTAATTCTTTTTTCTTATGCTTATCTTTTTTATTTATATTTTTGAAGCTATTGTTTTGATACCCGGCGTATAACCCGCGCACTCATAACTTTCGATCTTATTTTTTTTGTGTGTTAAAAGGGCACGTCATACGCTGGATTCGACGGTATATAAAATATTAAAGATTTGTTTGGATGAGAATGTCTTAAAAATTCTAGTTTTTGTTTTGCATTAGAGGGAAAAACCCAATATCGGGAGCACTTTTTTTTAATATGTTAAAAAATGCTCCAATAGTAAATATTATATTTTGACTTTATGAACGTATAAAGATCGATATATATTTCAATATACCAATAAATTCTATTTGCATAAATTTTTTCTTCGGGTGTGCCACACATTCCGTATGTTACCCTTTAAAATGGCCAAAAACATTTCTACCGTTTTATGTTAAATTAAATAGTATAAAAAAATTTTAAGTCAATTTTCTCTCTCTCTCTCTCTTACTCAGCTCAACATAGAAAATTTTATTTTAGTTACTTTTTATTAAATAATTACAATTAATATAAATATGTATATACATATGACAGAATCACAATATTAAGTGAGGAAATAGAGAAAGCGATTTTCCTTGCAATTTCCTATCTATATAGGGTGCTGGACTATTTTTGTTTGCTTGTTACTGTTTATCCATTAATTATTCTAATAAAATAGTATGGTAAAAAGAAATCACATTCTCAGAAATTAGGCCATCCCAGGTGGGATTCGAAACCACGACATTTGGATGAGAAGTCCAATGCACACACACTAGATTCATTACACTACAGGGACACAGCGAATGATTTTCCTTTCTATATATGCTGTTGGACTGTTATTTTTGTTTGTTACTATTTACTCATTTTTAAATTTAATTAATGAATTAATATTTTTAAAAAATGTATTAACATCAAGTGTCATTCACTACAAGTTTAAAAAAATGTATTTGAACTTGAGTAGATGAATAAAAAGAGTATCTTATTAACGATTGAAAATTTGAATATATATATATATATATATATATATATATATAGTATTATTAAATAAAAGTGAAGAAATACTAGAACCTACAGTGCTAAAGAAGTAAGGAATTGGAATTAAGCAGACACAACAATTGTAGATACAAAAAAGTCATTGGACTAAACTGGAAACCTATTATGATTTCTAAAGCTGTCGCTGAATTAGGCCACCGAATTAGGGTTAAGCAATGCTTTGTGGATCCAACCTTCCCCGTACAGCAGAAATTTTCGACATAATAGAGACAAATAGAGATAGACATAATAGAGCAAAGTTGAAAAGTTAAGTCTAATACAACACGTGAATGAAGAACCTAATAAAATCGTAAAAAAGAAATTGAGAAAAGAGAACAATAATGAATCTCTCAAGGAGAGGAATAATAAAAAAGTTTTTTTATAGAAAAAATATTAGGAAAAACTTACTTGTAAAACAAAAATCCTGAACTCAAAAAAAAAAAAAAAAATACAACCTACTGTGATGAGATCCTACGTGAAATGGTGAAAAAGATTGAAACGCCAAGATAAGAAGGAAAAAACCGTGGCGCCATCTGGATAGTTATTTTGCAATTAAACTAACCACAAATTTATATAATTAAACAAAACATAAGATGTTTTAAATAAAATAAAGAACAAAGTTCAGAATAGATAGTATCAAATAAAAATATAATAAAGTAAATTTACTTGGATGAATATATACTAAAAAGTTATATTGCAATTAAAATAAGAGCATAAAATATTTTAAAATATTTTTTTAAAAATAAGTTAAATAGAGAGAGAGAGAGAGAAGAAATATTAAATAAAATATTGAACTTAGATAAAACTAGATTTAAATTAGAAATAGAAATATATTTAAAAATAAATTTACTAGGATAATTGTATTCTAAACTACTCTTTGCAAAATTACACAAAATTACTATGGATTAAAATTTTATCAGTAACTAAATCGTTGTTCCTTTTATAAAATTTAAGATAATATTTCTAAATATTGATAGGTCTAAGTTACTACCCCAGAAAGGCATTTTTATAATGTTAAAATCAAATGAGTCTCTTTTATCAAAAATATTACTTAAAAGCAAATTATTCTTAACGTTTAGTTGAAGGTCCAAAAAGTTATTTGACTCATTATTACAATTAGTATTTAATAATTTTAAATAGTGGGGATAAAATAATTAAAGCTAGGAGCGAAGTCTACTATATTACTAAAAATAATTAAGTCATCTATGTATCTAAAAAAGTAACAAGATTCATAACTAATACTTTTATTTACATAAAAATGCAAGTAAATATTTTCTAAGCAGTTGCTAGCTGGTCCACCTTGTGGTAATCCTTTAATTTGCTGATAATGAGCGTTATTATGGAAAATATAAGTTTCTTTTAATACTAATTCAATAATAGAAATATATTTATCATATTTTATTATCTTATTCAAAAAATATTTGCTATATACTATTTTAAGAATCTTAAACATATCTTCTATATAGTATAATAAAATAAAATTGAAGAAGTTCTAGAACCTACAACGCTAAAGAAGGAAGAAATTGGAATTCAGCAGACACAACAAATGTAGATACAAAAAAGTCTTTGGACTAAACTGGAGACCTATTAGGATTTCTAAAGCGGTCGCTGAATTAGGCCATATGTATATGTGATGAATCCCCAGCCCCACAAGTGTCAGTTGGGGCAAACTTCCTACTAGGATAACTCAACCCACCTCCCGCATAGGAACTTTGACTTCTACTTTTGCCGGACTTAAAGAAGACACGTGTACTAAGGACTCACTCGCTGCTGATCAACGCTGAAAGAGCTCTCGTTTTTGTCATGGCTTGGAGTGCAGACCTCTTTACTGAATATTGAAATAAAATATAATAGGACAAACTGCTATCCGTTGCATTTCGCCTGTCAATCCAAGAATTTCTCCAAAACATGATATATATATATATATAAAGGAGAAAAGCGACTCACTCCCTCACTGACTGACTAATCACGATATCTCCGGAACTATTAAACCCACAGTCTTGAAATTTGGTAGGCAGGTTCCTTTCATGGAGTAGACATCAGAGCTAAGAACGGATTTTGCAAAGATCAAACCCCAAGGCGCGTTACGGGGGTTTAAGGGGCGTTATGGCCGCGGTAGCCGAGTGGTATAGGTATCGGACCGTGGCTTGCTTTGTCACGGGTTCGAGCCCAGTACCACTAAAGACCCGCCGTGTAGGGCAGCGATGCACGTTAAATCTGTCGAGAGCTGAAACGTCCTCCCGTTGGTGTGGTGTGGTAGTTAGGAGAGGGAGGTGCCAGCGCAGGTGTCGTCCACGTCACTTGACCATGGTTCAAAATTACGTGGTCCGTCGCCAAAAGCCCTCGTGTAGCTGAACAGTGCGACGTTAATATTCAATCAATTAAGGGGCGTTATAGATAATTAGTTCCATTATTAAACTATTAGATGCGCAGTCTTGAAACTTGGTGTGCAAATTCCTTTCATAGAGTAGAGATCCCCTACAAAACGATTTTTACGAAAATCGACCTCCAAGGGGTGTTGAGGTCGCTTAAGGGGCATTATGCATAATTATTTCCATTTTTAAACTATTAGACGTTCAGACTTGAAATTTTGGTATAAGCGGATTCCTTTCATAGAGTAGAGATCTTCTACAAAATGGGTTTTGTGAAAATCGAATCCCAAGTGGCGCTTTGGGGGCCTAAGAGGCGTTATGCATAATTATTTTCATTTTTAAATTATTAGACGTATAATCTCTAAATTTGGTACGCATATTCATTTCCTGGAGTAGGGGTCCGCTTCAAATTAGATTTTACAAAAATAAACCTCCAAGTAATGTTGCAGGGCTTAAGGGGCGTTATAGAAAATCATTTCCGTTTTTAAATTATTTGACGTACAGTCTTGAAATTTGCTGAGCGCAGTAAGAATTTAAGTAAGAATTTTTGATAAGTTCCTTTCCTGGAGTAGAAATATCTTAAGTTAGAAAGAATTTATGTCGATGCTATGTATCAACGTGGCCACAAAATAGAAAATTCGGATTTCTTTTTTTTCTTTTTTAAAGGTTTAAAAATGAAATTGCTGCTTTAGTTGGGAATAAAAGAACGAGTTTCCCACTTATTTAGGACATTAGAAAATTTCTTAGAAAATGATGGAAAATAAATTGGAAATGGGAAACGAAAACTAATTTTCGTTATGAAATCAATTATATCTTTTTCTTTGTTGAATTAAAAATATTTTTAAATCATTAAAAAAAATCTTAATTTGACTTTTTATGTGGTGCTAAAGGTTAACTTATAAAGAAACAAAAAGGTAATCCAGATAGAGAGGGGGAGGGAAGACATGGTGAAATCTATAATGAAGGCAGAGGAATAGTCATTTCGCAAGAATCTTCTTTAAAAATAAGCACTCCAGATTTATTCAAAAAATCTGAATGAGCAAAAACATAACTTCTAAGATTTAGATTTGGCGAATTCTAAGATTTAGATTGCTTTTAAAAAATAAAAATCCATATATGTTTTTGTTTTTCGCAAGCAAAAATTGAAGAACACGAACCTATTTTAACAAGAATTAATGGAATTTTTATGATTTGTTATGATGCTTCGAATGTTTGAAAAGTTGTAATAGCTTTAGAGGGAAAAAAATGAAGTTGAATATTAATAGATAAAAATCTTATTTCTAAAAAGATTTTTTAAGACTGTAGGATTATATTTCATAGATTGTATAGGAGTTGGATTTTTGTTATGATCCTTGATCAAGATTAAATGGCGTACAAAATAGTTGCTATTTGTATAAACGGTCCTTACGTAGTATACCGTCGACTAATTTCACCTAGTCAATGACATCGCCAAATCAAAAAATGTCGCCAAATGCTGTTATCGTCTCCGCAGATGCGCGAAAACAAATTTCCGCTTCTATTCCTTCCGTATCAGCACGTCGACAAATAACTTGACGAAGATTGAGAAGAATTAAATAATGTATTTTAAAAACAAACGCGTATTATTCTTAAAATAAACAAAAAAAGATATAATATCTACATTCTTTAGGGGGCCAAAACACCATAATTGCATTCAAAATCGCGACAAATGCATCTAGTTTATGTAGACTACGCCCGCCATATAAGCTCTTAAATATGAATCTAAGTGCTGTCGTGCGGATTCGCGATGTTTTGCCATTTTGCGAAATTAGAAGACAAAATTCATTGGGTAAACTTTGATTCCACAAATGTTTACCATTCAAGTATGAAAATACATGAAAATTTACTTTGAATAGATTTCCTTGTTGGAGATATTCATTGGAGTGATTAGTGATTTAAACGCGAGGAGGATAGAACTCGTGACCTTTTTGGGTCCGTAAGCACGTAACATACCACAAGACAAAAATGATCATCTCAGTACGGAGGCTGTTACTGGTTTATATAGATACCATTGCTACAAACGCATAAAAGGCAAACAAATTTCCTGCGAGATCTAAAGTTTTTCTCTTTTAAAAGTTTTGAAGTAATAACTACTTACAAGATTTCTCGCCAAAGTTTGAGAATTAGTTACTGAGAGAAATCTCAGGATGAAGAAATTATTAAAGAATGAATCTTCACAGCTTTTAGGTATGCGTGCCTTTGGTAACGCTTTATACACCGATTTTAACAGCAAATTTTTGCTGCAATCGTTTCAACATGTCTTTTCGCTTGCAATAGTTTATCTTTGTACAGTTTTACATGGAAGTCAATGAGAAATGCATCTAATGAGGCATCTTCAATGCTCAACTTGCGCAACGAGTTGACTTTTTAGGTT